ATCGAATGTGTAATAATGTAAGTATTTAACAATGTGTTGTACCTGTTTTAGGTGCAGCAGGCTGTTGCCAATTGTCTTCCTCCATTAGTTCCTGCCATAAAGGCTGAAGCACCTGAGTACGTGGAAAAACTACTTCACCAGGTAAAGAAAGTGGTGTTTCACTTTATTCTTGTGAAGTTTGGATATGTTTACTTTGTTACAACGCGATTGATTTCTTATCTTCAAGCTATTGGAGTCCAGTGTCTATGGTGAGCGTCGAGGAGCCGCATATGGACTTGCAGGAATGGTAAAGGGACTCGGGATTTTGCATCTAAAACAGCTTAATATCATGAACAGACTGCAAGATGCCATTCAGAACAAGAAGGTCTACAGGCATCGGGAAGGTGAAAACACAAGCTTTATTCTTTAAGACTATCATGTGTTAACAATAGAGTTAACAGCTAGCTATCATTGTACGCTCGACGGTGATATCGCCTCGATGCAAAGGAACGGCTACCTTTCAAGCTGGGAACCGTGAAGGGAACTATTCAATGGCCAACGTTTTTATAAGAACACTCCGTTATTTGCATGATACGTAATGCATGTTTTGTGTTGTAGGTGCGCTGTTTGCGTTTGAGATGTTGTGTACAATGCTTGGCAGGCTGTTCGAGCCTTACGTTGTCCATCTACTTCCTCATCTTCTGCTGTGCTTTGGGGACGGGAATCAATATGTTAGAGAAGTGAGTACCAAAAAAAACCCCGTTTGGTTGTTGTGGATCGTGGTTTTTATCTCCTTACAACATTGATTTGCCAGGGTGTTCCCCTTTTATTTAACACTAGATATGTAACGAATCACACAGGGAACCTGATTAATAACAAGTGCATTATTTGATTATACTACTAAAGATGCCTTCAAATGAATCTAAGTGTAAATAATTACAAAATGTACYAATAATGGCGTTGTATCGAAGTTAATCTTTTGTTTATTGAGTTTGGTGAAAAAATGAACGTTAATTCAGACCTTGAACGGTACTTATTTCGTATATTCCATCTGTAAGTGTGTACACAACTAAACTATAAAACAATATGAAGTGCGTAACATTGTCTTGTCTCACAAGTTAGATTTCGTGGTACTTTGGACGCGCGAATTGAGTGCCACGTTTTTACACAAAAAAACACAAAGGTTGACAGAGGTATGCTTCTATCCAGTTTCAGTATGTCTCTTCATTGTGTTCCAGGCTACAGATGACACTGCTCGTGCTGTCATGAAGCATCTTAGTGCCCACGGTGTCAAGCTTGTTCTGCCATCTTTACTTGCAGCCCTTAACGAAGACTCGTGGAGAACCAAGTCAGGTTAGCATCTTGTATAGAATAAATCCACCCTACAGCTATCAAATAGTGATATATACGATATGATTGGCTGATCTGTATTGACGTCTGAAGCTTTTACGTCATCTACTTGATTTTTGTAAAGCATTGTGGGATCGATTTCCGGAGAAAACAAACAAACAAACAAAATCCGCCATGTTTCGGCCCAAACATATCCTACAATGCATTTCGTATACGGTACATGACGTAAAAGCTTCAAAATAAAATGGCGAAGCGATAGTCTGGGTAATTGTAATTTTAGCTAAACCTGTTTTCATGAGTTTTTTTGTGCGTTAAATGCTATTGTTTTTCTTGATTAGTTTTYTGTTGTCGAGTGTCGATTTTAAGTATTTTATTGTACCTCAATAACATGATAAATAATACTCGATTTGYGACGCCTAAGTTTTTAGTGCTCATTCAACTCTATCAGTGAATGAAATGCTTAAATAAAATGCTTTATCATACAGGCAGTGTAGAGTTACTTGGAGCCATGGCATACTGTGCGCCAAAGCAGCTGTCCTCATGTCTTCCAAGTATTGTTCCCCAATTATGTAAAGTCCTCACTGACTCTCACTTGAAGGTCCAAAACTCTGGTGCTCAGGCCCTCAAACAAATTGGCTCGGTCATCAGGAATCCCGAGATTCAAGGTATAGATTTATAGTATTGTTTATTGTTCGTTTTACAGTTTTCTGATTGTTTAGTGAGATGACATCTAAGCGAACAATCTGGCAAAGGTTGATACTCTTGCAAAATGCAGTAAACACAACAGTTCTGTAAATTTATCATTAAAATGTTTCCACTATTTCAGCTATCTCATCGGTGCTACTTGAAGCGTTAATGGACCCTTCCACYAAGACGGCGCCATGTCTACAAGTCTTGTTACAGACGTCGTTTGTGCACTTCATTGATGCTCCTTCTCTCGCTCTTATAATGCCCGTCTTACAGCGCGCATTAAGCGAACGATCAACAGAAACAAAGAAAATGGCTTCACAGATTATTGGCAATATGTATGCACTCACTGACGCCAAGGTTTGACTTAAGAAACACTCTTCTTTATAAAATGACAGAGAAAAAATCGTCTAGCGAATAAAGTAGGGGGGGGAAGAAACTGCAAATAGAAGATTGCAAAAAATATTTTGTCAAAATCAGGCAAACAGCGTCAACCAATTATAATATGATTATAACATTCAAATAAGTATGTTCAACCATTCACTGACTTTCGTCTACAACCAGTTAAATTGTGTCTTATTTTATCTTTTCTTTAGGATTTATTGCCATATTTATCTTCTGTTGTTCCTGGTCTTAAACAGTCTCTTCTGGATCCTGTACCAGAGGTAAAGCCTTACCAGCATTGACAAAACAAGCCTGTCAACGATGTCCTTTCGACAAGATTATTTCTTCCTAYTGCCACAGTGTTGTACCCAGCCGAGCCTTAACTATGTTTTTTGGTCACGAAGGGGGTGTGGGAAGGATAAAGACAGTTTGGCCTTACCTTGATGCAACACAAGCTGACTAAATCCTTCCCATCAATCATTTGCTTACGAATATGAAATTTACAAGTTTTATTATTTCTCGAATCAAAGTTAACGGCTATAAAGTGAAAGCCAAAGACGAACATACTGCAGTATTGAGCTAAAATTCCATCTGACCAAGGGAAATCAACCTTGGAAATATTGAATCAACTTAAAATGCGGTTAAAGTCTGGAATCAAAATCTCAGTGTCGTATGGATTAATCTTATACATGTATTGTTGATATGTATGTGTAGGTACGCGCTGTATCAGCCCGTGCTTTAGGTGCGCTGGTCAAGGGAATGGGAGAAGACCATTTTGAAGAYTTGTTGCCATGGTTAATGGAGACACTGACGTCAGAGAACAGTAGCGTAGACAGATCTGGTGCTGCTCAAGGTAAGACACAGGGAATCCAGCTAACTCCATGTGATTCGGTGCGTTTCGTGCGACGAATAGTCCGAATTCAATGAAATGAGATGATAATGAGAAGTAACAATGATTGAAGTAATTTGCATTGAATTTCRCACATGCGATTTGGCGTGTGAAGTGAGTCAAATTGGCACAAGGGCGTGTTTCATAAAAACTACTACTTCTCTGGAAAGAAGGTGCATGCATAACAATAGGTGCAAACATCGAGGTAAACAAACTCTGAAAACCGACGAAGAAAAAGCAAAACTCTGACAACCTATTTCCACTTGCGCATAAGCATAGCGGTAGGCATAAGAACAATCACAAGGAATTAGCGTGTTCGTTATTCTTGTGATTACGCTTATCCTTATTTCCGGGAGATTTAAGCTTCACTTGAAAATACRCTTATGTTTCGTGCTTGTGGTTATGCTTATTTCTATGTTTATGCATATGTTGTCGTGTGAACCAGGGTTAAATCCTCATCCAGAGGTCAAATGGATGACTTGTATAATCACGATCACGCCAATCATTCTGTGGTCATTGTTTGGTTTCATTGTTTTCCTTGTTCCAGTGGTGTGGCTGCACTGCATTTCGCAGTATGGGACCGGCCCACAATAAATACTCCTAAAACAGTCCTTGAAGACAAAAAGTCTACATGAAACCGGAAACTTTATAACAACTTTCTACCTGTGTTTGTAGGTCTTAGTGAAGTGTTATGTGGTCTTGGTAAAGAACGTCTTGAGAAACTAATGCCAGAAGTAATCTCAACCACTGAGAAAAGTGAATTGGCACCACATGTGCGCGAGGGCTACCTCATGCTGTATATTTACTTACCTACGACATTCAAAGAAGACTTTACTCCATATGTTGGACCAATTCTGCCGTCCATTCTGCAGGTAATACTGAGAAACACTATGACAGGAAGGTTACGGGAAAGAGAGTTGTAACCCTTGATTCCAACTTTTCATACTTAGCCTATTTTATTTATCATATTACACAACTGTTCCTTTAGAAATATCGACGCAGCTCACACTAGTTGACCGCTTGTTCCAAACATACTTAGCCTAGTTTTATCTCTTTACTCCAACGGAGGATTTACGTCCGAAACGTCAGCTAGTTGTTTCACCTACGTTTTTACGTTATAAAAATTTATCCTTTTTACACAACTGTTTCTTTTAGAAGCACCGACGSAGCTCATACTAGTTTAACGCTAGTTTCCACCACATTACTTTTCCATCTAGTCTGATATATGCGTAATTTGAAATGCTACTTCCATTTTGTGTTTCTTAATTTTTAATTGGAAAAAAAAATTTTAATCGAGGATTACTTACTGATGATAGATGATGAATTGACCAATCTAAAGCTTTTTTTAGCTTCTTTGCTTGCTGTACACGTACAATTAAGTAATCTACTGAACTACTCTAGGATCTATGTATTAAACTATTGTATTATTGTAAATTGTCAGAATAGTGTAAATAAACTGAATTTGTATTTGATATTTGTCGCAGGGACTTGCAGACGAAGTAGAGTTTGTTCGTGATACATCGTTGCGTGCTGGACAGCGTGTTGTTAACGTGTATGCCGAGACTGCCATTGAGCTGTTCCTACCAGAGCTTGAGAATGGCCTATTTGATGACAACTGGCGTATTCGACACAGTTCAATTCAGCTTCTCGGTGATCTGTTGTACAAAATATCAGGTGTTACTGGGAAGATGAGCACAGAGGGTGATGAGGACGACAACTTTGGAACGTCTGTATCTAACCAGGTATTCATCATTTAAACATTATTTCAAGGGGAAATTTTCACAAAGCTGCATATTTTTAAAAGAAACCACATATTTTGTTATGCGCCCAACCTTTACATGAAACAACCTAAAGTGGATGTTTTCTCCTAAACGCGTTTTGAAAGAGATGCGAATAATTTACAACAACCAAGCACAGTGCTTATTTTCATTCTTATTCGCTTTTTCCTCACACGAAAAAATTAGAAAAGAAAGTAATCAAAGTGTTTCCAACAAGCGACAAACGATATTTTGATCTTTTACGCGTAAAAGAAAGTAAAAAGCAATTTGGCGCGCGCGCGTCAAGCATTTTGTATTTTCCCGCGCTTTTTGTCAGCTCCCTTAGATCAACGTCTTTTTATTTTCCACGTTATAGCAAGCTTACAATTTTAAAACTATCTACAAGCAATTCCCTTTGACAAAATTTCGGAGCATTTTAGAAAATTAAAATCGAATTCATTACATGAATTTTGCTTCGTTCTCACAACAAAATAGTAAAATGAGTGAACGACTCAAATGAATGGAATACAAATGTGGAACCAAATCACAAATGTAAACTGTGTTCTTCCTTTAAAAAGTGTAARCAGAAGTAATAATATTGTCGTAATATTAAGCTTGTTAATTTTTTTTTCTCAGAAAATCATCGATGCCCTTGGTAGTGAACGGCGTAATCGCGTGTTGGCGGGTCTTTACATGGGTCGTTCTGACGTGTCTCTTATGGTCAGACAAGCTGCTCTCCATGTATGGAAAGTCATTGTGCCGAACACACCCCGAGTGCTTCGCGAAATCCTCTCGACATTGTTCTCGTTGTTGCTCGGGTGCCTAGCGAGCAAGAGTTTTGACAAACGACAGGTATAATTTATTTATCTTTTTGTTTTGTTTTATGTCTGTTTTGTGTTTTTATTTATTTTGTTCAAACGAGTTTTTGATTAGTTATCTTTTTATTACTTTTTGACAGTGCATGCTGTCGGAAAAGTTACTTTTAATTTTCTTTTTAAATTAATTTTAGGTCTCTTTTACCTTTGATAAATCCACTGTTTTTACATCGTATTATCTGTCGTAGGTTGCAGCCAGGACACTAGGGGATCTAGTACGTAAACTAGGTGAGCGAGTTCTACCTGAAATCATCCCGATCCTCGAGAATGGTTTAARCAGCGATAAAAGCAATGAACGTCAAGGTGTCTGTGTTGGTTTAAGCGAGATAATCAGCTCTACAAGCAGAGACCAAGTGATACAATACGTTGACTCGGTAGTTCCCACAGTGCGCCGCGCACTATGTGATGAATTGTCAGATGTACGAAAGGCTGCCGCTAAAACCTTTGATAATCTATATTCTACTATTGGAGTGAAGGCCCTGGACGATATCCTACCTGATCTGTTGAACAAAATGGTAAATTATCACTCAGAAGTCCACTTTCATTTGAAAAAACCGCGTTGTAAATTTGATGAAAAAATGATGGAAATGATGGAAGTTATAATTACATGATTTTGAACACTTACATAATAATTACATCACATTTACACACTTTTTACATACATTGTAAATTTGATTTACATCACGTTTACACACTGTTTACAAACGATGTAAATTTAATGGAAATATTATGTAAATTAAAATCCAAAGTTACACGATATTTCCATGATTTTGGACACTTAAAGGATATTTACAACCTTTGCAATTATTATAGATTGAATTTACATCATATTTCCATTAAATTGGCAACTGTCAAAGAGCGCCATTTTTTCCAGTGTTTTCTGCCGTATTGCTTTTCTTAACCAATGATTGATGCCTGTAAAGGCTGTTATATCATTCCAAAGTCTTTGCTAAGTAATAGTTTGTTTTTAATCCAGGACGACTCGTCTTTGAGTGAATATGCTTTAGATGGACTGAGGCAAGTGATGCAGGTTAACAGCCGTGTGGTATTGCCTTTCCTTGTACCAAAGGTAACTTTGTCTTTTCGAATATCAAACACGACCCCTAAAACAATGACATAAACTTTAAAATAAAACCTAAATCAGTCAATGAACTTGAATGTTTTTCCGAGATATTGATCAACTCAGTACTAAAGTTGTTGCCATTAACCGTGATATATAATTAGCGTATTGAGGTCTTCATTTTTCATATTTTAGTTGATCGCCCCTCCAGTCAACTCCCGTGCGTTGGCAATCTTATCATCTGTTGCCGGCGAAGCGTTAACCAATCACTTGTCCAAGATTCTTCCAGCCCTGCTGAACGCCATGCAGATGTCGGCCGGCGGTGACACTGAACAACAGGTAACCTTTAACATTGGTTTGTTTGTTTGCTTGCTTGCTTCCTTGGCTGGTTGGTTGCTTGATTGATCTCCTGAYTTATTGATTGACAATTCTAGGAACTCGACGCCGCCAAGAAACTGGTTCTGTCAGTAGAAAGCGACGCAGGAGTAAAAACAGTTATTGAAGAACTTATTGAGGTCACAAAACATCAAAAACCAGGCATGAGAAAGGTAATGTTGTTTTAGCCAACARTCCGACAGTGTTTGATGTCTTTGTTAGATATAGTGTTCCACTATCCAATTTTTTCCCGTGACGTAGGTAACTCGTAGCCTCCTCCACAGGCAACTCYTTTTTCCTCCTTTGGGCTTCCTTTGTAACGGTCATTTTGGCCGTTAGGGACTAGTGACGAGATAGCAAAAATAAAAAGAGGAGGAGTTCCCTTTTCTCGCCCCCATTCTCCCTCTTTTGACTCCTCAAAAAGACAGGAAGCCCGCGATTCTTAGTGATGCCTGCGGAGGAGGCTAGGTAACTCGTAGTATTATCATCATCAACGCAAATATCATTATCACAATTGGATAATCTTAATCATCATTATCATCATTTTTCTTTGATTTGAATCCAATTTCAATTTTTATTCACACACATATTGTTAATCTATTGGAGTAATTATGAGATAGTTGCATGTTTGTTATAGGAGAAAGTGTGCAGTGGCTAAAGGAGMTTAGCTTTCGAGTTAACCACTGTTTATTGAAAGCGAGCTTAGAGCTCTTTTTTAATAAATAAAACTTTTTGTTTTTGTATCGTCGACATCGTTATTTTGCTATATTCATCATGATCTTATTACCATTTCTTCGTATTAACGCCACTTGTTCTTCTTTAGGCTGCCATTATCCTGTTRCATACATTCTGTAACGAGACCAGAGCAGATTACTCGGACTTCATCCAWCAATTGTTTCGTTATGTGATTCATTTACTCAACGATGATGATGTGGATGTAGTGGTG